TAGCAGCCTATGGCCAACAGAGTCATTGTAACAACAACAAAAACAACAATAGCAACAACAACAACAACAACAAGTAGTCACCACCCAGTCAGTTGATCTATCCATAAGCCATGGAGCCACATGTAATAATCCGCCTGTGAGGGCCGACGAAGGATGGTCACTGATGACTCTTCAGGAGCGGTGGCGGTGAGACGAAAAGGATTTGAATCAACATCATCATTGTTATGGGTAGCACCAATGTCCTCACCAGCGCGAGCACTATAAATTCAACCAAGAGAAACACGATATTCACTATCAATGGCTGTCTAGGCTAGTAAACGTACCACCGGAGTCCTTTCATCGTGAAATCACGATTTGTCTGGCTAATGGAACAATCTGACAACATCGTGTATCCTGTAATATGCATGCCAGACAGGGCCGGTTCGCCGATTCTATCACATATACACACACACAGACACACTCACATCTATATATATATATATATATATATATATATATGTGTTTAAAACGTAGCGAACTTGAACAAAACTGTTATATAGAATAACTGAGACAATGAGAGTGCGTAATTTTATTTAGCTGAAGGTTAGCAAACTTGTGTCGATCTGTATAGCGTATTCCAACCCTTTAGCAGAGCTAATTTACACAATCCGATTGGAAGTTGAAGAGATTGTCGGCTAAACGGGGTAATTTAACTACAATTATTGGTTTATTCGGAATATAACACGGCGCTAAACGGTACAAAAGGAAACGACCGACATCGGATTTTGATATCCGGCACGAGCGGAGCTCTAATTTCGAGAGATCTAAAGATCTGACCTGTTCAGATATTCGGTTGTTAGAGACGCCCGAACTGTCCGACAGAGCCGAACCATAGCCTCCCTCGCACCAGCATCTGTAGCCACAACGCCCCCTCCAAAAAAAGGGTGAAAGAGCACTTTGCGGTGTTTTTAACAATTTCTCAAAGCAATGCCTCAAATTTTGCGCCTGGACCATCATCTTCGTACCTTCGCGCCCGGCCTAAATGGTCCTCATCGGACGAAAAAGGCTTTTCACAGCGATACACTTTCACGCACCCCCTTCCCTCCCCCCGTGCATGTTTCATCATCACAACCGCCTATATTATATTTGGCCTTTTCAAACTCTAGCTTTGAGATACAAAGCCTCTCGTACAGTGCGAGTGCCGGCCACCGCACGCTTTCTCTCATATCAAAAAACGAAAAAACATTTACGCATAGTCAACAACAAAGCAACGGGGGTGAGCAATTATTTTAAGTTCGTGGTTTCAAATAAAAACAACAGTAATAACAATGATCATGATCATCATCATCCGCGTCGTCATTATAATATACCAACGAAGAGAAACGGGCTAAGCTGAATCATGATCAAAAGGGAGCGGCAACAGCTTTTGCATCGGACGCGAACGACTCTCACTAGGACTAAGACGGCAGGAGAAACACTGCTCATCGTCTTAGCACTAGGAAACGAATGACGCGTGAAGAACAAATATCGATTAATCTTTTGCCGGATTCCCCTTTTTGCCATCCGTTATGGATGGGGGCGTCAGCGGCAGTGTCGGGAGCCGCCATGGCTGAAGCAAATTCTGTGCCTATTCTGCCTCTTTTTTACTAATGTACAATATATAAGGAAAGAGCGCAAGGAACCCTTTGCCACTCAGCCATCTTTGCCTCCCTCTGCTTACGTTTGTCGCTTCCCATGACGTCGAAAGCCGTCGCTAACGTCGACTAAGTGGCGCTGATGGCCTGCTGGTTGATTGGCCCAACCTTTTTTCGTGAAAGTATCAGAAATAGATCACAGGGTACCGACAGCAACTTATGAATATCGAGGCAGATACAGGGAAGATGAAAGGGTGAGCTATGAGGCAGCAGCGTTCCGTAGAAGCCGGAGCTCGTAACTGAAGGGCGTTGTTATGGCTACTAACTGACCAGGGCAGTCCTCCTTGGCTGGACGGTCTCTTGAAGAATCTATTCCATTTAACTAGAAACACCTGCGGATGCCGACTTTAGGTATGACCGTAGGACAAGTGACAACAAAACCATTATTCGATAAAGATCCGTCTCATGAACATTCCCTGCGGTCAGTTGGATATTGCCAATTGTTTTTTGTAAGTACTTACTAGACAGAGACAGATATACACATACACTCCGTCATCATTTTAACCACACTGATATGGATATATAACATTCTAAAGCTGTAGCACGGACCAGTAACGCTGGACAGCATATACGTACGTAGATTTGTTTCGACTTCATTGTGGAAGGAGAGAGAATTAGAGGGGATTGGCAATGAAAGCTCTAACATTTTCTGTAGGCAACGGAACAAATGCGTCGACGTTGGCCACGTGATAGTGAGAGACTGTTATACGTCACGCTTAATGACGACTCAGTGTTACTGATCGAGACGAAACAGATTTATTTGCTTTTTTTTTTTTTAGCTGATACGCGTCTCAACGTTGATAAGAGAAAAACAAACGCATCGTAACGCTAACTGAAGTTAACTTCGATTGTTTAGTTCAGATGAATACTATGCTAAATCAGTGTATATTTGATTGTCTTTCGTTGCACGTTAATATTTCGTTGTCTTTATCCGGTCACACTTCTTCAGTTCATCGAAGGTACCTAGGCAGAAACAAAGTTTGTTGCCACTTTCGCCCGCTGGGTCTGCGCTTCTGGCCATTTTCTACATCGCTTCATCATCGCCTACTCACTGTAATGACGCAGTAAAGGGCAAGGCACCGTAATAGAGCACTGTTTTTCGGCTACTAGCTAGCTTCATGATAATTCTCGTAAATCTGCTGGTCCGTCCCATAATTTCGACAGGTGTCCACTAGCGGCAGGCGAGTAAGCGATCTGTGGAAGCGACGGCATTGAGTATTTAGCACCGTTTAGCTGCGTTGCCCGAGCCGTCGTGTCATCACAGCGACGCTGACTAACGAGCGGCGGTCGCTTCACGAAATGGAGCAGGCTTACTTATTATTATGTGCGTATTGGAGTAGCCGTTATGGCCGTCCCAGTAACGAATAAAAAGAAATCATCAACGTCAGCAAGGGTCTGGGAAGAAGTCATTTACACGTCAAGTAGAATGGAAACACGGCCAAAACAAAGAATGTAATCCCTGCTCATTAATGGAAGGACAAAAGAGCACATCACCATTACCAGACCACTAGATCCCTTCTGTGCTGTATGGCATAATAAAAGAGCGGCAACGGTAGTAAATCAATGACAAAAATGATTCAATCGGATCCAGAAACGATCTGATGCGGCGTTTTCATGGGAAATTTTCGGTCCGCCACAGCCGTACAACTGGATCTTAACGCTATTGTTTTCAAATAAAAAATTTGATCGAGTCCGAATCAACGAAGCTACTAAGAGTTCTACGACTGGTCAATGGTATAATTCACTCCACTATATGGATACCAAGAGATGCATCTTTTCGTGTGTTTGAACGCATTTTAATAGGCCTTATTAGGCCCACTGATAGAAACGTCAAAATCAAATGACGGTATTTGGTGGACGGATCTAATCTAATCTGATTTCGTATTAAGCATTTGGACAGCATTCGTTTCACTGGGTTCATAGATATCCTCTCAGTAGAGCTACCTTGCGTATAAGAAGACGTAACTAAAGACAGTTGTCGCCCGCTAACAACAATATTATAGTTGTTTCTAGCGACCTAGTCAGCCTAGAAACCAATATAAATTCGTCTTTTCAAACACTGGCTTGTCAGGGTTGCTGCATTTACCATCGCGGTATCTAATTTGTCGTTGGTTGATCTGTTAAATTCATTAGTTACTATATGAATACCTGTGTCTTCCTATATCTGTGCATCTGTCTGCGTATAACGCAATGCGTGGTCAGGCCTTAACTAAATTCTTTTACTACACGCGGTTTCAATATACCTCTCTCTCTCTCTCTCTCTCTCTCTCTCTCTCTCTCCCCCCCTCCCTCCCTCGTCATTTGGCCTGTGGAATCGGAGGCGACAGTGGTGACAACGACGTTCTTCAAACAGCCGTCGTCCTTCCCTCTACCCCGAAGAGGTCCTCGTCGTGTCAAAATAGCGCCCTCTGATAGTTAAAGCCAGCAGCGGTAGTGGCACAACTGCTACATCATACAGATTGATAGACAGGCCGTTACTAGAACGAAGAACATTGAGAATCCTTCTCGAAGATGTCAAGAATAGAAACGGTGGTTGTAGACACTGGTACTGCCGCTGCTGCAGTTTCTGATCCGTCAAATGCTGTTGGTCTGGCCGTGAATGGATGCAATGGACAAATGCGTTGTCGTGGTCGTCGGAGTCGACCATGGAGGCCCACATCGTAAGCCAGAGAGCAGAGAAGCCCAACGGATTCGTCTAAGCGTTCGAACTGCCATACAAACGACATCATGGTACGGAGAGCCGTACTACACGAGCATACGCACACACAAAAGATCCACTTACTGCACAATGAGAGACACAAACGCAGATATCGAGCGGGAACAACGTAGTATAGTAGCAGTGCACAGGGCGAACCACAAAACGATGGAATTAACGCAGCAGTATAACAAGCGAGTTCGCACCAATGTCAACAACAGTGAGACGCCGAAAAGTTTCTGCAAAACTAAGTTTTGCTAAGTGAAGAAAACGATGACGCGACGACGACCCCCGCGCCAAACGATTATCTTTGCCAGTTGGTGGGAGGCAAAAACGATCGCAGTTTTTATCTAACTCGACGACATTTTTTTTTATAGAAAGTGATTAGTTGGAAGTTTTACTCGTAACGTTTCTTTAAGCAAACAGAGTTAAAGCGGAGATGCCTAGTCAGGGCAATTAATTGAGCTGTAGGTGTCAAGAAACACAGTGCACATAGGTTAAACATAAAACATTACCGTCCATTATCTAATTATATATCGTCTATTCAATGTGTGTTTTTCTAGAACCCTACAGATATGTTACGTGTACGACTCCTGTGACATAGAACTCTTTGAAGTGTTCTGATGCTTTACCTTTGAGTGCAGGCGAGTCGTTAGCCGGTGTACTTGATGGTGGGGAATCGGGAGAAGGTGGTCCAGACGGGGCCCCGGTGGATCCAGGGCCTCCGATCGGACATTCGGACGCGATTGGTACTCCGGGCGGCTTCATGTACACTCTTGGCTGAGAGGAGCTACCGCCCCACCACATCCTGCGCGAGCTCAGGGTCGCCACTTTTACAAATAATAAATTGTACGACTACTATACCGATTGTGTTTAGATTTCGGGTACACTTCTACAACTTTAACACCCCAATACAGTCGCCAAAATTCGGTTGAAGAAGAAGTTCTTCCATACACTCCACAGACAGCCTAGGTTAGTCCTTGGTCAGCACATAGTCCCACGAATGCACCGGTCACCTAGTCGACGACGTTCTGGCAGCAGAAAGGCAACAGAAGCTCCCTTTTTTTTTTTATCTTGAAGTAAATAGCAGTTGGGATAATAGTCGAATTATAATTGTTTGTAATTTTTGCTTAGAGTGGTGAACGTATCGAACAGGCACTTTCTTTGACAGTAACAACGACGGACAGCGACCTTTCCCTTATAGGATTGTCGCTAGCTTGTGTTGAATTTCCCTTGACGTCCTTTTGGCAGGCAGAAATAAAGGCTGCTAGAACTTTTCACTGTCGAATAAATGTCCCAAGCGTCTCCTACGTTTTCTATTACGCCGATCTCTCAGCTGAGAGGAACAACAGGAACATCAGATTACGCTGATGATGGTGGCAGTGGTCGTGATGAGAGTGACAACGGATACGCTCATCAACGCCAATATGACACTCGGCATACGTTTAGCATTTTTTTTTCTTTGAAATTTCTCTTCTGGCAGGTAATTTCTATTTTTTGTTAACTTTGTATTAATGAGTTATCAATCATTCTGGCTAATAGAGGCAACGGGCGTGGAGAGCGGTAACGACGGTGAATCATGGGAGCACATAACGAATTAGCAGGCATCAGTTTTTTGCTTCACTGGATCACGCGAATTAAACTGGTTGAGCTGGTTATAGCAGGAGTGATAATAATCGCAGCAATAGGAAAGTAACGGCTTTTTGTCGTTTTTTTTTTTTTTCTAATTATTAACAAAATGTCGTCAGCATAACTAATTTATAAAAGCGGCTATAGCAGCGATAGAAATAGCGGGTATTACATGTAAGAGTGATGACATTTAAAATATATCCGTGCCATGGACCCTTATTCATATCCTGTTATTTGCCGTCTATCTGACGAACAGCTACGAGCCGCCAGAATAAGCCGAAGGCTTATACGACGAAATGCTTCGGTGTGGAGACGAGGACTTGCGCTCGTGTTCTACGACGATGACAAGAGTCGCTGCAACCACGAACTAATATTGTTACAGGCAGCCGAGTGTCGTTATCCGGCCACAGAGGAGGTCAGACTGCGATTCTGATGCCTGCGTACTCAGTTGATCTGCCGCTCTATCTGACTAACGGCAGTGAACGTGCTTAACTAAGCTGGCCAGTTACCACTGTAGTCCATTGCTGATTCCAACATCTTCCAGTGGGTAGCCATCAATGGCGCATTGGACCGGCCTGTCAGACCGACCACTCAAATTATATTACTACTGCCACGGGCAGCATCAGCGCTATGGCACTTCACTGGACAGCAGCGACACCGCCTGGATCAGCACCCCCAGCACCAGAAACAACGTTTCTTTTTTAGTTCTTCTTGCCTAGCCGTCGTAATCGTGGTCGTCGTCGTCGAGGTCGTTGTCCAGCTTCAGTTGTCATGACAAGTTTAACAAATTCGATAATTAGTATAATAAATAATTAATTAGTTGATGATAATGGTGATACCACTTAAAATATTCCTCTAGCTTTTGTTTTCCTCTTCGTTAATTGCCGTTAGACGGTTAGCAGATTGATTATTCTCCTTCCGTACACTCGTTTCTCTCTCACACACTTTCACACAGACACGATACCGCAGCACTCACTGGCGGCGGACAACAGTAGAGTCGTATATAGGCGCGATAGGCGCGGACGCTGCTAGCGCGGTGTCCACGACGACGGCGCGCGGACGAATGGTTGGAGTTGTTGGAGTTACTACTGCTCCCCAGCGCCGCTCACAGCCTCACACTCGCGCTCACTCGCTCGCTCGTCCGCTGCTGCTGCTGCTGCTGCTGCTGCTGCTGCTGCTGCCGCTAGATGGTTCGGTCGCTCGCTCGCCTGGTCCGCTTAGTTGGATAGCTAGCCTGCCTGCGTGCTTGCGCCGCGCTGGCCAGACCGCCGGCCCCCACTCGCAGCCGCACTGCTGGCAGCAGCAGCGGGCTCACCGCGCGCCGCTGCCCTCTCCACTTCTCCGCCGGACCGTCAGCCTCCCTCTCCACTTCGCGGCCAGCAGCGGCGATGAGCTGAGCCCATCGGGCTACTGCTACCGCGGATGAACGGCGAACAGTGGCTAGGCGACAGGCAGACCAACCTGGATTGCCATGGACAGACCGGCAGGACAGCAGCTGCAACTGCTGGGCTTGGCCAGTGGTAGCTGCTAGCAGATACGCAGCGGTTTTCATAGCCACTACCGCTACAACTATTTAATATGTCAGATAGCAATACAAAGGGATGGCCGTAGCTTAATCCAGCAACAATAGCAGCAGCTGCAACAGCGAGATGTGACTGACAACGCGTGAGATCGGTGCCAGCAGGTATGATTTAACGCAATGCAGAATATGGTGGCTTTTACGTTCTGAACTTCAGTGACGTGGAAGGAACTTGATAAAAGTATACTGCTGATAGAGTTCCATCAGTAATGTGGGCACATGACATTTCGAGCTGACGTCCCATATGGGCAGGTCGTGCAAATCGTCTTTCTGCATTTTTTCAGAACATTACAGGACAGATCTTGCTGGACTTACCTGGAATTTTTTCAGCAATCCTGTCACGCACTAGGGTAATCATATCAGCAGCCTTTAAAGCCATGACCTCTTTTCACTCATTTTTCTTTCTTCATAAATCCTTGGTCGTCGTCTGGCAGTGCTGGTATAAACTGGTCAGCCTTGCCGTTAATGGCTCCTAAGGAAAACTATTAGAAATGTGTTAGTCACACAGGCCACACCGTCGCAGGGAGCTAGGCATATAACCTATAAATTCAAAATGAGCAGGTTTACGTGGGACTTAAAGCTAAACTCGACTTCAGTCAAGTCAGTAATCGAACCTCAGCGAACCTCAAGGAATTCCGATTCCATATGCCTCATTTCGTTTTTTTTTTGCCTTACTCGTAATACGTTTTGCTTTACCACTGTCTTGTGCTTTAGGGTCACACGAATTCAACTCAGCTTTGAATAGCTTGAATCTCACTATTCGTATTGCATAAACTATGACTATATATAAATATACCGCTTCCAGAACCACAAAACTTTGCAAAGCTTCGAAACTTTAAACGTCAGGTTTTTTGGCGGAAACCTCAAAAACATTCGTTGAACCGTCACTAAGGGGACGCCTGCCGTGCACCTCACCGGGTGAGTGCTGAAAGCTATCTTCATCTAGAACGCAACGGCCCAGATGTATATCATAAAAGTTGAAAAAATTGAAAAACGCCACTCCTCAGAAATTTTCTTTAAAAAACTTAATCCTCATTGACGTCCTTCGCCTGGCGTGCCGCACAAGCCGCACTTTTCCATACTGATGATATTATATTTGAATAACACGATAGCCATTGTTGAGCGTTCATTATTTTCATCGTCGTTGTCATCGACGCGATACAAGTTCGACATATTTCGAGTTCAGGGTCTCATCTGGGAACAGAGTGTCTGTAGTGTAGCTGTCAATTTTGCCTCGGTTCCTTGATTGCAACAATGATCGAAGCGTATCATTATACAGCCAATGTAGGGTGCTATCTGATTATCCACTGGTTCACCTTATTCCACCATCCCGTGAGCCTCGAACCTGTATTGACAATTACCACTTTATTCTGAACCTTTGCCAAATAACAGTTCTTATAAGCTTTTTTCACCTTCCTTTATAGTACAGTCAACGCGGCGTTTACGATAGGTGATCAAGACCGACAAGGTAGCGGGGCGGTATGCCACGCAATCGACTAAATATTTACCTCAATAGCAAACGCGGCGCTCCGGTGGCACCTGAAGCCCACATGGTTTTCGTCAGGCAACCTAAAAGGCCGAAATTATGCGCCGCCGAAGGTCAGCAAATGTAACCATGGCACTGAGCAAAAAGTCCATTTGTGCCTAAACGTATTTTTTTAGCGATCCGCCTTTACAGATAGCATCTATCATGCAGGCAATACAAGCATCAGTTACTATTATACTTTGCCTGCATTCGAAATACGTAGGTGCTACATTTCGTACTGAAATACCTGGCGGAAATACCCAGCGTTGCATCAGCATCTAGGCTACAAGGATCAGTGGTTGAACGGCGCCCATAGGCAACTCAGTCTACCCAAGCTGGTAGATGATAGATATAAAACAATTACATGAACGGATCTCAGAATGATCCGCCTGCTATTTAGAATATAATCAGTTTCTAGATGTTTGTGTGCGTAGCTTACTTATTAAAGGAACTAATGTGAACAGGTAGTAAGTCATCTTTGTTATACATTTTTGGCATCCACCTCTTAGTTTGCATGCAAATGTTTTGCAAACACGTTTTCTTCATATTAGCTTCTTCAACTCTAACTTACACACGCTATTTACGTATGACAAACGATTTACGTGATCTCGACAGTTAAGTCGCAGTAAGTTTCGACGCTGGCGGTAGACACCCTTTCCCGTACAGCCGACCGACGTTAACGGCTGTACCGGACGTAGCAGTCGAAACGTTCATTCACTATAATGCAATTATAGATTTTTAATCTTTATTTTTAAACCGTCCACCTTGAAAAATTAGCAAGACATCACAAATGCGAGGCACACGTTCGAGCTATTACATTGTGTACAGCCACTGATGCTCGGCCCTGTCGCTGATTTGTAGTTGTCGTAGCAACTGTTAACTAATGAAAGAGTCCATAGAGCCATCGATCATATCTCTGACTCTAACGGCACCGTAAAAGCCTTTGTTAGTTTAACTAATATTGCTACCGTGGTAAATTATCATTCACGTATACCTGTAGCAAAGTATAATCATTGTAAAAATCAGGCAAAAAAACAACAAGCAAAATTCTCGATGAAGGTATTTGAGACGCATCTCGTTTCTGCTGGCGCACGTTTTCTTGTCATGAAAATTTGCGTAAACACAACAATCTACAATCGGATTTTTTCTCTGATGCTCTCAGTCCCGATCAAGGACGAAGGTACTCGCGTCCGGTCCGCAGGTAGTTAAATTAATTTAATGAGAATCATTTGTCAAAACACAGCCAGCAATTATCACGGGACAGGGTCACGCTGTTCAGAGCAATCGTAGTCGACCTCAATAAAAAAAAAATTATTCACCGGACTTCGCTATTGCCGTCATCGCAAACTCTATAGGAGCTCGTCTACAGTTTCTGCAGGCACAGGCTATTTTGACAGGGCGGTATCATGGCCGAGGATGTAGTCGATCCCGTCGCTGTAGTTGATGAGCCCGAATTAGCTTCGAAGGGCCAGATCGCCGCGCTGCATTGAGACTAATAGTGATGAAGATTGTTGCTATACTTTTGTCATGATGGCTTAGCTGAACAGCTCCTTGGGCATTCTTCATTTAGTATGTATAATTTTTCGGCATATTTCTAGCTATTCGATTGGTAAAGGGAGGATACGGGACAAACATATGCCCACAGCTAGCCAAGGTCTGAACAATGGACTGTCAAAACTGAGAATACCGGCAGGTGTTAAATAGATCAACGTGTAGGGCTCAATTGTAGAAGACAGTTGCTTGCATCGTTCCGAGGACGCCAAGCTAAGTATACGACGCACGTGGCAGTTCGAGATGGAGACTCAAGACATAAAAATCTTCGGAGGAATAACTAACTTATACTTGCATCGAAATGGAATCGTATCGACGATCAACGGTGTGGCTGTATCACTGTGTCATTTTGGACACTAGCTTAATAATATCATTGCCATGTTATTGTAGCTTACTACCGAATTGTTGATGGAACTGTTAAATGTACATCGTGTAGATTGATGCAGCAAAGGCCATACGTTGTGCCTACTTTCTACACGCTGACACTATAGCTACCACCAGTGATACGCTTCTAGGGCAACTAAAGGAACAGGAGGTTGCCGGGTCGGACAGGGCGATCTAAGTGGATACACAGAAGAGATCTTGAAATAGACCTGGCTGGGAAGAGACAGAAAGGCTGGCGGTGAAACAATCGGATGAGGTAATATTTTCCATACAGGCTAAAAAGCACTCAACTGCTGCGGATTACACAGTACGTTTGATCCGTCTCATCATCCGAGTTACACGAAGAACACAGTCTTGCCGATGTACGCCCTCTTATCGGGTAAATTATCGCTCTAAACATTGATTTTTATTGATTAGCTTTAAGCCAACTGTTAAGGCTTACTAGCTACAAATCAGTATTCAGGATGGTTCTAGTTCTGTGCGTAAAATTTGCGTATTACAATAGTTGGCCTTCGCTACAAATGTGCCTTGCTTGACTGAGCGGCCTTACGTTTGCTTGATGGTGGACTAGTTCGATACGTTTTTACCTTTCACGATCTTTACTGGCCAGGTGGAAATGTTAACATGTACACACGCACACATGCACACAGATACTAGCAATCCACTTTTCATGGTCTCCTCAGTCGAGCTGGCCTCGTCGACTTGTGTAGAATTGTCCCTTTCTGCTGTTGTCCGCAATAAAAGTAGTTACCTTTACTTCCGCTGGTAAGGAGGTAATATTTACTAGCGCTTATCAGACAGATATATTAATAGAAAGAATAAATGATCTCAGTGCTCCTATTGTGGTAAGCCAATGATAATCGCGACGCTGTTGAGTGAAATCTCCACCGGCAACAACAAAGCCATGCGAACGGTCGGCAGGAAAAGTGCCGGCCATTCACTGCATCACTGAGATGGTTAACTAGTTGCCTTTAACCAGTCACTATAGGTTAAATGACTATGAACGCCTGGAACGATAGAGGCAGCATCGACAGTCGTCTCTGGCGGAAAAGGTTAGCTTCCCCTATAGTACCCCCCAGCCGTGTTTGTATTTAGCTAAGGCATATGTATCAATGCACTGCATTAAGTCCAGCAGACATATAGGGTACCAAAATATAGGACGCAGACT